GGGGGATATTTGTCAAAAGAACAAGGATAGAGACTTCATAAAGGCAGGAATGGCCAGTGGTGCCTTTTGAAAGGACAAGGAGTCATAGGGACTGAGAGGTCAAAAAGAATTTATCAGCAAGATCACTACTGACCTGGGAGAGCTGTTTTCATGAACTAATCATGACAGGAACCAGAAAGTGGAGATGGAAAGTATCATTAACAATTCTGAGAACTTCATGGTTTTTCACTTTTTTTTTTGTAAGATAGGGCTATTAAATTTCAGGAAACATTATTTTAAGATGAAAGGACATGGAAAGGGGAGAAAAACAGTGAAGCAGGGGTTTGATCAGAGAGACAGATGAATGTAATGAAGAACACCTAAGATCTTGTTTCAGTCTTTATTAAAATGAAAAAAATTATAGGTTCTGATGGCCTTGGATAGATTTCAGAGAAAACAATAGTGTTGGCATAGGTTGGTCATTCCAAACACTATGCTGATTGTTTCCCTTCTCAGCAAGAGAAGGAAGAGGAGGTCAGAGAACATTTATCTCCTGATGACTAAGGAGCTGCCTTAGAAATCAGCTAATAGAGGTTTCATTTAAGTTCCAAACTTTACATGCTATGTCTCACTGACATGAATTACAACTTATCTCTTTAATCTTGTTTTATCAAAAGGGGGCCAAGAAGCTTTCACAGATATTCAATTCTTAACTCCAGAATTTTATTTGATCACACAGCTCTTGACCATTTCATTGAAAAACTAATGGATATCATTCAATAAAATGATACTTATTTTAGGAAATTGCTTTTTTTTGGTTAAAATTTATGGTTATTTTAGAAAATTAAATATTATCATTTAAGCTCTAGTTGACTTCACTAGCCTTAAGTTAACTGAATATATAGAATTAGATGTAGATGTAAAAATAATATAGACATAAGCACAGACTTATGTAGTCATAGGTATAGGTAAACATATAAATATAAATATTATTTATATTTTCTTTTAGAGACCTAAAAGGTCTCTAAAGCTTGAGACCTTTTAGGTGCAGTTTGCATCATGCCTGTGATAGATTTTTATCCAAAAACAATGCCAACAGAAGTTTGAATCCAAACACAACTAAATTTGATTGTTCCACACTATATAAGTCAAAAAAGGAACAAAGGAGGGATGGAGTGGACCATGGTTTCAAAGGCCACAGAAAGGTCAAGGGTTAAAAAATTCAGTGCCCTGGCCAGTGTACTCAGTGGTCAGAGCATTGGCCTGTATACAAAAGGCTTCAGGGTTCCATTCCTGGTCAAAAACACATACTTCAGTTGGAGGCTCCATTCCCTACTTTGGTGAGCATGTGCAGGAGGCAACCAATCCATGTGTCTCTCTCATTTGATGTTCCTCTTTCTTTCTCTGTCCCCTTCCTTAAAAATCAATGGAAAAAAATATCCTCAGTTGAGAACAAACAACAACAAAAAGTTCAGTAAAAATGCTAATCTCTATAATGATTGCAGAGTATGATGGTCTTTTTTCACATGTGCTACACAAAGAGGGACGTGTGGGAGAAACGAAATCTCTAATAAAGATAATGTGATGAAAAGCAAATGAAGGTTCACAAAATGAAAAACATAAAAGACAGTGAGTGTCGGTATTAAGGGAAAATTCCTTTGCAGAAGATGGGAGGGGAGAGAAAAGGGAGAAGGAAACCAGTATATAAGTGAAGGATGAAAGAAAATAAGGTTAACATTGAGCTATTAGCTAATATTAAAAATCACATTTTTGCTCTGGCCAGGTGGCTCAGTTGGTTGGAACATCCTATACACTAAAAGGTTTTGGGTTTGAATCCAAGTCAGAGTGCATACTTAGGTTGTGGGTTTGATCCTCAGTCATGGCATGTATGGGAGACAACCAATGTTTCTATCTCCCTCTCCTCTCCTTTTCCCTCTCTCTCTCTCTCCCTAAAATCAGTTTAAAAAAAACAACTTATCCTTAGGTGAGAATTTAGAAAAGAGCATATTTTTAATTTGTGTTTGACCTATTTTCATTTTCTTTGGGCTCTTCTGAGGACAAAGGTCTCTTTTGAAGCTTTTGCTTTCTTTCATCATTTAATAATTGCTTCTATTTTTCAGCTTTTACTAAAAAGACTATTTCTCAGCCCTGGGAATATCCTGGCATTAAAGGTGAGAAACAGAAGCTTTCCTTTGAGCTCTTCCAAAAAAAAGCACTTTAGAAATAAGAGGCATTGCTGTGTTGTTATTACTCTCCTCTTCTCCCCAAAAGCGTGGCATGGAATTAGCTCTACTCCTCACAGAGAAGTCTTTTAGTTTAGCCATTATATTAATAATCTGTGCTCTATAAAAGGAATGAATATCTAAACTGATCAACCGAGTCCAATAATCTTCTCTTTTCCTTAGTTCTGGTGCTGTGGACCTGAGCCAGGAATCAGAAATAGGAGCACTTTATCTTCCATGTAAATCACATTCAGCAAGCATTCATTGTAAGGGCACACAGCCAAGATCTGCCAGTTCTGTGCATAGATCCACAGCTCAATGCACATTGAGAACATGAGATGTTAACTCATGAATAATCCTTCCACATTTTTGCACAGTTATATAACCAGTTGCTTACTATAATAATAATTTACATTAATATTGGAATACTAAATAGAAGACAAAAGTACTAAGTTATTTTGGAAATAAGTAGTATATATATTTCTAAGTGCCAGTGATTCTTTATCAAGACAAAAGTTGATGGATTTTATAATACTCGGGAAGTAATAACAGCTAGTTTTAACTCCTAGTTAAAACTTTTCCCACTTAGGTAGCCAAGTATCACTCATAGAGAAATATCTAAACAAGGGGAAAGAAGGTTTTAAACTAGAAATATAATTCATATTTGACAGTTCATATAATTGGAAGTCACCTAATAATGAGTAGGCTTTTTTAAAAGAATATTTTAACAGAAAGTGGATATAATTCCAAGTTGTGATTATTCAGCATGTTCATTAATGTTATATCCCCTTGCTATGTCCCCTTGCTATCTAGATAGATAGATAGATAGATAGATAGATAGATAGATAGATAGATAGATAACAAGGGGACAATGTGCCCGAAACAACCAAACAACTGGTCATCATAAGGTGGCATTGACTGGCAAGTGGGCTGAACTTCTGATCTCTTGGTCCCTCCCCCTGAATCCCACAGGTAGTAGCAGCTCCCTTCCACCTCCTGTGGGCAGCGGCAGCTCACTCCTGCCTCCCACAGCAGTGGCTCACTCCTGCCTCTCGTTCCTGCCTCCTGCAGGCCTCAGGAGCTCCCACCCGCCTTCAGTGAACTGCTGCTGCCCACTGTAGCCTGCAAACTAGCTCGAACAGGGGGTGGGGCCGGCCAACCTCATACCCCTGCCCCCTGCCAGCCTGCCCCTGATCAGACTCTCCCATCCCAATCAAGAGCTGGCTGAACAGAGCCTGGACCTTTCCTGGCAGCCCCAAGTCCCTGGGGTTGAGAATTCTAATGGCCCTGCCCAGAGAGTAGAGGTGCCTGACAGGCAGGGACAGGGACCACAGGCCTCCAGAGAGCACCACAGAGTTGGCAAGGAGAGGAAAGGGCCTGTGGAGGGGTAGGAGGCAAAGCCAGCAGACATCAGCCAGAATCCAGCCCTTCCCCCTGAAACCCCAGAACCCCAGCCGGAATCAGAAGAGACTGAGGGAGTCTTCGGGAAGCTCTATGCAGAGCTGCACATTGAGAACGAGAGATTTCGTGAGGCCCTTACCCAGACCACACTGCGGCTGGCGCAGCTCAGTGTGGAGCTGGAGTGCGCCACACAGAGAAAGGCGTGCTTTGCAGAGAGGCCGGCCCTCCTGGAGCTTGAGAGATTTGAGTGCAGGGCCCCGGAGCGCAAGGCTGATGAGCTGATGAGCTGGAAGAGGAGCTGAAGAGCCTGTCCAACCTCCAGGTTGACAACCAGAGCATCATCAGCAAACTGTCCAAGTGACCCCTGAGGACTTGCCCCTGCCCCCACATTTATACAGCTGCTTCTGCTTCACACAGACCCCTTTCTCCATGTGAACACATGTGACAGGGCTGCCAGGAAGTCTCTGAGAAGCCATAGGGGCCATCTGGGGCCAGGATGGAGAGGGGAGGCTGAGCCAGGTAGGGGGACCAGGATTGCAGGCAGAACCAGGAAGGAACTGAGGACCAGAAAGCCTAAATCAGTAGCCAGGACCAGAGTGGCCACCCAGAGGTCCCCTCTCACATGTGCTGCCACCATTTACCCCTCCTGCCCCTGAGCAGGGATCTGAGAATGTGCCTAGCATCTCACTGGCCTGGGCTGGGTGGGCCTGTATACAGGGTCCGTGTGGGAGCCCTGCTTGGTGCTTGACTCTGTTCTCTCCTCTGCCACTCTTACCAGTTAAATCCATATGGTGAAGTCCTAATGCACAGTGCCTGAGAAAGTGCTCTTATTGGGAAATAGGCTCATGGTAGATGTAATTAGTTCAGTTAGGATTAGGTCATCCTGGAGTAGAATGGGCCCCATATTTGATATGACTGGTGTCCTTATAAGAAAGGGAAATTTGAACACACACACACACAGGGAGGATACCATGTGAAAATGAAGCACAGATCAGGATGATGGTTATACAAATTAGGACATGGCAAAAGTTGTCAAGAAACCACCAGAAGCTAAGGACGGGCATGGAACACATCCTCTCTCACAGCCCTTAGAAGGAACCAACCCTGCTGACACTTTGACCTCAGACTTCTATTCTCCAGACCTATGAAACAATACATTTTTGTTAAGCCACCCCGTTTGTAGTAGGTTGTTCCAGCGGCCCTTAGCAAACTAATACAGCTATTTATGTACTCCTTACAGTTTGTCAGATTTCCTACCAGGGCTGCATTCCAAGGGGCATTGTCTTGTTCAGCACTCAGAGTTCACAAAATTGTCACATCCACAATTACACATTGTCAATATCTAACACTTTTCCCCATCAAATTACATAGCAACTACATTTGGCACCTCTCCCTTACCTTCTGCTTGCTCCTGTGCCTGGAGTGGCATTATATCCTGGAGGGGGTGGTGGAAACCAGGACTGTCTGTGAAGAAATGACATCAGTTATCAACACTGTGCTTGAAAGGCCTGATACCCCTCACCCCCACACACATACACACATGTCTACAGGAAAAGCTGAAAATAATTAGACTAAACAAAGGCAACGAGATGACTTTTTTACAAGGCCCCGGGAAATACAATACAGGCTATTTCATAAATGCAGTAGAAAGTAACTGTCCTAGATCTCAGTGAGGAGGGGGAAAGGGAACAGGGTTAGGGGTGGAAGAGAGATTAACCAAGGAGCATATATACACATATTCATAGCCACTGGCATGGACACTAGCGCAGTGGAGGCCTGGGATGGGATAGGGCCATGGTCAGCAAACTGCGGCTCTTTGGCCCCTTGAGTGTGACTCTTACACAAAATACCCGGGCCTGGGCGAGTCTATTTTGAAGAAGTACCGTTAGAAGAAATTTAAGTTTAAAAAATTTGGCTCTCAAAAGAAATTACAATCATTGTACTGTTGATATTTGGCTCTGTAGACTAACGAGTTTGCCGACCACTGGGGTAGGGGTTCGGTGAAGGGGGCAAGGCAGGGGAGGAGGGGGAAATGGGGAACATCTGTAATACTGTCAACAATTAAAAAAAAATAAAACAACAACAAAGAAACTAACCATCCTCTACACAGGCTATCTGCTTCCCTACATAAATTCCTCTCCCATGTCTTTTAACACTAAACAATGTGGAAATTTCTTTAAAAAAAGAGCTGAAGGAAATCTGAAAAATAACATTTTTTAAATCTTTTTATAGTAGATTCATAAAAATACCTCATTTTTCTCTCTATTTTCTGCATTTCATAATAAAAATAATAACAATTTTATGTTCTACTCAAAATATGGCTTTAAAAAACTGATAGAAAATTCTGACAAGTAAGAATGCTGAAAACATAAATGAACACCACAACAATGCTAACCTCAATTATATATACATACACACACACACACACACACACACACACAAACACACACACACACACACATACATTCATATAGAGGGTGTTCCCCCAAAAAATGTATACACACAATGTCCGTAAATTCTATTACATTTTGAAAATGAAATGTATTTTAATAAACACTGCCTTTATAATTATTCAAAGTGTGTATACATTTTGGGGACACCCTGTACATGCTTATATACAAATACATATGTACCCAATTAGAAAGATGTTTTCCTATTACTAGGGCATAATTTTAGTTGGTAGAGATAGCTAAGGGCTCTGTCAAAAAGATTAAGATATAAACCAAAGATGAAGATGTTCAGAGAAGAGTGACAGAGCCTAGAGCAGAGAGGGCTTGGGTAGGAGGACATGGAGTTGGCTTTAAATTCCTGAAATGCAAGGCAGAGTCAGGGTGGCAGAGTGGGTAAACTCTGAGTTCACCTCCTCCCACAAACACATAAAAATTACAATTAAATTATAGAACAACCTTCACTGAGAACCACCTGAAGACTACCTAACAGGATCCTATAATGAAGGATATAAAGAAGAAGCCACATCAAGACAGATAAGAGGGTCAGAGACAAGGTCCCGGCAGTTCCCACACACACACACACACTTAATAAACCAGAAAGATATCTTGGCTTTCAGGAGCAATGAGTCTGAGCTCCACACTGGGTTTTTCAGCTGGGGGCATCTGTGCTGGGAAACGAAGTTCCCATAATATCTGGCAAGGACTATATCTGAGAAAGGAAAAGGTCTGTGGGAGACTGAGATACTGGCCTTAAAGGGTATGCACACAAACACACTAACTCCAAGCTCTAGCACAGAGGCACAGAGGCAGCAGTATGCCTGGATCATACAGAGAAATAATTCAATTGAATAACGTTAGGGCAAGGGCAAGGATGGTTATAAGCTCTCTCTTAAGACAGAAGGGCTGGCAGGTTCCATTGTTTCTCTGCTGAGCTCTCCTACCCACCTGTCCCTTCACAGGTGGATGTAAAATCTGCACTCTCCATTAACTTGGCTAACACTAATTTCCCAATTCTAATAATTCCCTGAGGTCTGGCCTTGGCCAGCCAGCTCACCCAACCAGAGCCTCTTCCCTAAGCTTCAGACCCTCTACACAAGCAGCAGCCAGCCTCTGCTCACACAGCAGTCTCTTCCAAACACCCTCAGGCTCCACACAAGTGACAGCTGTCCTCAGCTTGCACTAAAGCTCCTACCATGCAGCCCCAAAACCCACACAAATGGTGACTGGCCTCTGCCTTCACCAGGGCCTTTCCCAAGATGCTCCTTTGTGCACTGTTGGTGGAAATGTAAAACGGTACAGCCACCATTAAAAACAACATGGAGAGCCCTCAAAATGTTAAAAATATCACTATCATATGACCCACCAAATTCACTTCTGAGTATTTATAGGAAGCAGTTGAAAACACTAGTTCAAAAATATATATGGACCCCTATATTCATTGTACCATTATTTGCAATAGCCAACATACAAAAGCAAGCTAGCTTTCCATTGTAGATGAATGGATAAAGATGTAGTATATATGTATAATGGAATCTTACTCAGCCATAAAAAGAATGAAATTTTTCCATTTGCAACAATATGGGTATACCCAGAGGGTATTGTGCTAAGTGAAATAAGTCAGGCAGAGAAAGACAAGAACCATATGACTTCACTTATATGTGGAGTCTTTTAAAAAGCAACATAAACTATCAAACAAAACAACACACACACACACACACACACACACACAAAAAAAAAAAAAAAAAAAAAAAAAAAAAAACCCTCATAGATACAGAGTGCAGACTGATGCTTGTCAGGTGGGAAGGGGGTGGGGAGTATGAGCGAAAAGTGAAGGAGATTCAGAAGTTCAAAGTGCCAGTTGTAAAACTAATCATACTATACACCCCAAATTAATATAACATTACATGCCAACTATAATAAATAAATAAACAAATTCTGCTGCAAAAACAAGTTGATGGTATAAAAAAAAATCACAGGGGAAGCTCCAGTATCACACATGGACATTGAAGGTTTTCAGTGCAGGGTCACCGAAAGGTCTCCAAGAAACAACCAATCAGACGTCTGTTTTTTCTCTCAACCCCCTGTCTGTTTCCATCACTGCCCTCTCCAAAACACCCTTAAGTAGAGATCTATGTCATGAGGTCAAAATTAAAACAAAACAAAAACTAAGAGAGAGAAAAAAAAGTAAAAGAAAGATTTAGAACATTGAGAGCTTTCTTTTCTTATCCCAGTCAGGAGTGTTTTAAATACCCATCATTTTTGTTAAGAGAAAAACAAAGCCAAGTGTCTGATAAGAAGATGTGCTGCAAAGGAGAATAATGTTTCATATGGTTAAGACTTCTGATATAGGCAGCAAAGGCAATTGGATAAAATAATTGGTTTTACAATATGGTCAAAAGGTAACTTCAAAGTTGTAGCACAAATACTTGTGCTACAATACCAGAGGGTTGAGACTTTCCGGTATTTTCAATGGAAAGAACAACAGCCAGCCTGTCTTTTAGAAAAGGAATGCATGGTTAGATCAGCTTAGCTTGTCCTTAGCAACCTGAACTCGGGCTGCATTTTGTCCTCTCTACGAAGCAAGTGGGAACTTGAAAAGCATGTAGCATGTGAAAAGGGAGCAGTGAATGATGCCCAGGATTGAAAGCTGGACCTTCAGAAATTTCAGGACTGCTGGATCTGTCCCCACCCCCCTCCACACACACACTTCTTGGTAACCCCTGTACATCCAGTGCCTTTACAAAGTACCTTCGGCTGGATGCAGAGCAGTCCCACACCTAAGAGAAAGCCTGTTCTAGTATAAGTATTTCTTATGTCATTAAAAAGGAAGTTCTAAAAAAAAAATAAACAACAACAACAAAACACAATTCTGGAAGCAGGTGTATTCTCTGAAGCACCCTGCAGGAGGGAACTAAAATGAGATAGGAGTAAATCAAAGGAAGTTTCACCTCAGTGTAAGTAGTAGATGCTGCCCACCATAGCTAGTCAAGGTGGATCACAGAAATGAGAGGCATATCACTGGCGCCAGGGGTCCTGAGTTAGGCCTAGACTGTTAGAGGAAGGGTTCTTGTGCTGGGTACCAGACTGAACTGACCTTAACAATCTGTTTCTAACAAACAAAAGATCAAGGCAATGTGAAATTTGGGTCCAAGAGGAGGATGATCACATTCTCTGAGATTCTGCAGATACAAACAGTATCTCAACCACAGGAAAAACAGGATCAGCCATTTCCCTCCAGGAGGACCCTGGCAACACCAGGGCAGTCAACTACTCCATCAGCAAACACGTTGTGCCTGCCCTGTACCAGGCACAATCCTACGCGTAGGCAAAGAAAACAAGAAATTGCCAAAAGCACTGAGGTTCACAAATGCTTGTTTTCCATTAGTGGCCTGATCCACTAGCACTGTGTTCTCCCCAACATGCAAAGTGCTTTCCACCATCACATGGTGGAGACTATTCTGCTGCTACAGGCCGAGCTACTTCTTGGTGCCTGTTAAATAAATGGAACCAGCACCAAGTGAGGGAGGCCATGCAGGAGAAGTTGGAGGAAGAGGCGACAATCACACAGGCACAGATCAATGTCTGGAGACAGGGTCTTTGACTCTCTGCTTGGAAGAAGGGTCAGCCCAATCCATAGAGCAGATGAGGCACCACCAAGCAAGCTGGTCTCAGAAGCCTGGCCCTTTATGGCCCACCCCAGTCATTATTTCAGGGTAAGACATTCCCTGCATAGGATTTTATTAAAATGTGTTATGTGAATATCTGGGATCTATTGTCAAAAAACAACATCTAGATATTCAAGGTGCTAAGGGAACTGGAGAAAAGACCTCATGTTTGGAGAGGATATTGGGAGGTGAGGGGTGGACTGAAGTTTGCGGACAACTGAATTCACCAGGCAGCGGATCCCTGGAAAGGGGAGAGGCGAGGAGGAAGGGCAGAGCATCTTCTGAATGCTGCCTGGGGCCTTGGTAGGTGATTCGGTTCCGTAATTATTAAAGAAGAATCCTTGAGAGAATATCGGCAAGAAGCTGACACAAGGAGCCCACCATACCTCTTTTTCTTTACTGGAGCTGTAGCAGAGGTGGGAGGGAGGGTGCTGGTGGTGTTCAGACTGACAAAACCTCCAGGTCGCCTGTTGAATCACAAGAGCAAATATTCACGTTCCTGAAATTTTTTCATTCTAACCCACCGTTAAAGGTCTTATAACCTACTCATACTCCCACCCACTCGCCCCCACAAAATGTTTAACTTGAAGACAGAGGGACAAAAGTAAAAAGTTCTTCAGTTTATCGATTTTATAAATTGACAGGTTCTTATCTTAGTAACTAAAACCCAGGGAATTGAATGAGGAAATCATTCATTACATGACATTAATTGTGTATCTGAAATCCAGACCAATCAATTTGGGTGTGCTATGGGATATATATATTATATATATATATATATATATATATATATATATATATATATATATATATAAAATTATATTGTGACTAAAAATTATACTCAAATGTTTTTGTATTAAAAGCATTGCTTTAATAAAATATTTAAGAATCACACCATTTTAAATCTCTATTTAGTATTTATTAATATTCACAGACCCTCAAAACAATGGAAGTGACCCCGGCCTATTTCAACTGAAAGGTTCAGTCCAGTGTGAAAATTACTTTATATGTAAATACAAATTTTAAAACTAATCAAGTTTTCAAAAATCTACTTAGTTTGGCCCTTGTCAGGTGGCTCAGTTGGTTGGAGCATCATGCTGTACACCAAAAGGTTGTGGCATATACCTGAGTCACAGGTTCAATACCCAAGGGAGTCAACTGACTGATGTTTCTCTCTCAAATCAATGTCTCTCTCACATCTCTCTCTCTCTTTCTCTCTCTCTCTTCCTCTCTCTAAAATCCATAAATATATCCTCAGGTGAGGATTAAAAACAAAACAAAACACTTTAAATCTACCTAGTTTGGGTAATTTACAATTGCCAATAGTACATTCAGGGAAAATATATTTCATCTAAATAGATTGTTAACAAAACCATGATTGCATGACTCAGTTGAGTTGTAGATATGATGGGTGTTTGGAGAGGCACTTGAATATAGTGAAAGAATGATTTAATTGCATGGGATTAAGAAAAAAATAAGATGGTTCTGTGGGGACAAAACAAATAAAAAATCTAGATTTTGAAAAAGCAAAGAAAAAAATAGTTAGGCTTTGGTGTTTGGTTAAGAGTAGAGCTCAGTGAACCTTTTCTGTTAAAGTCCACATAGTAAATATTTGAAGCTTTGAAGTTTCCTTCTGCCTAAGCAATTGTATTACAATTAAACTTTGGCCTGATGGCAGTTTATCCTGTTTTGTTTTGTTTTGTTTTGTTTGTTTTTAACACATATAAAGAAATATACTTTATTCTGAAAACATAACTTCAATTAGAAAAGTACATACATTTTTGTTGCTTCTGGTGATCTAAACGCAGACATATTTCTAGTAAGAAAAAAAAAAGGCAAAAGTTTGAGCAGCAATGAAGAATTAATACATACTTGCATCTATTTGACATTGTCTGTGAATTTTAAACTATCATTGCTAAGGGTTAGAGATTATCTGAGAGAAAGAAAAGGAAAGCATCAGAATTAGAGTAAATTTGGTAAATATGGTTTTATAATCTTTTACTGTCTTGTACTAGATTGCAGAAGAAATTTTTTTCTTTCAGAAAAGTATTTTTTCAGTAATTTTATTTAGCAATAAGAATTTAAAACTTGACATTTACATGTATTTCCTAATCTTTCCATCAGGATAACTTAAACAGAAGCATAAATGTAAGAACCATGGCCTGAAGCAATGATCTCTCTTGAACTTTAAGCCAGGAAACAAGATTTTACATTTCTCTAACCATGAACAGGAATAAAGGTTTTTACTCCAGATTTCTGTGTTAAAAAACATAGAGGATAAGAATTTACAGAAAGATATTAAGTAGGGTTGAAGAATTGTAAGTAAATAAGTCATGCTTAGAAATATATTGAACTTGAGCCTTTCCCAAATTTAGTAAATACTGGTACCTATTGGTTAGTTGGTTATCCAAGGTTTTGGCCTTATATGTTTTAGCAGCATCATGTCTATCTGAGATCCTTTATGAAGAAACAAGACAAAAGATTGGATGAACATTACATTATTAAACTCCTTTTAGACTTCTTTTATGCTAGGATAACTCATGACAAAACCTTTTTCTAGTAAAAAGAAATATTTTTTCAGGTGTTACATTTAGAAAATTTTTACAATTAAGAAGCTACTTGTGGCAAAAATCTATTTGTGAGGCAATTTTGATAGAATTTGGAATTTTTAAAGTTCATGCTTTTCAATTAGCCTTTCTGATTCATTGAGCATTTAACTCGTTAACTATTTTATATTCATTATTGTTTAATAATACACATAGACAATGACAGTACTTTCTATGTTGGTAAAGTACACCAAAGGAGGACAAGTATTTTTTAAATGTTTTGTGGCATAGACAAACTTATTTTATTTTCCTCTGAGCACACAGGAAGACCACACTTCTCAGTCTTCATTAAGTTGGGACCACGTGATTGAGTTCTAGACTGGAGAATGTAGAAAAATCTTGTTTGTCACTTCCAGACAAATTCTAAAACCTCCTGCATGATAACCATGCTCCCTATTCTCCTTCCATTATGGCTTTTGTGCCCATGGATTGAAGGTGGCAGCATTAAATCATGAAAAGAACATGGGTCCCTGAGTGACTTCATGGGCAGAGTCCCCTTCTTCCAGCCAATCACATTGGACTCTGATGAGAGCAAGTAGTAATCTATTGTGCTAACCTACAGAGATTTGGGGGTGAGAGAAGGAACTTGTAAAAAGAGTCACATTACCCTGGTGAATTAATTCACTTAAACCTATTAGCCATCAGAAGGTTTAATCCCTCTACTCTTAGCTCTCCTCAATGAGGATCGGTCTAGATAGAGTGTGTTTATCTGTCCCTTGGGTCAAAAAAGATAAATTAGAAACCCTGGAGTCTCCATGCCCGTAGTGGGATCTCAAGATTGTAGCCCCTGTTTCATCCCTTCCTTCCCTCACATCAGACTCTTCCTGAGATGTAGGTTATCTTCTGCAACATTCTGCAGACTTGCATAAAAGTAGGATGGAACAAAATTAGGCTCAGGAAAATAAAAGGTCAGTGAAACTCTTCTACTGATCCCACACTATGGATCTACTATGATTATTTCTAAACTTTCACTTTTACCAACAATTTTAGTACAGGGCTTTATATAAAACATTTCTGGGAAAATGGATACGATGCCTCACTCTTTAAAAAATTTATGTGAGAAAAAATAAGACTAAATTGTCATTTAAAATAATTTAAATTCCTAGATGTCATTTTGACATATGTAACTAAAATATTGAGTAAATACATCAAAATTTTATGAGTCAGCCCCAAACACAGTTTCTGTTTATGGTAAATAACTAGAGGCCCGGTGCACGAATTTGTGCATCAGTAGAGTCCTTCTGTCTAGCCTGCGGGATCAAGCTGAAACAGCTCTCTGACATCCCCCGAGGGATCCTGGATTGCCTGAGAGCGCAGTCCAGGCCAAGGGACCCTACCAGTGCATGACTGGGGCCAGGGAGGTTGACCAGTCAGGGAGGGACCACAGGAGGGCTCCAGGGCATATCTGGCACATCTTACTCAGTCCTGATTGGCCAGACCCCAGCAGCGAGCTAATCTACAGGTCAGAGCGTCTGCCCCCTGCTGGTCAGTGCACATCGTAGTGACTGGTCGACTGGTAAACTAACTGCCCCTTAGTGGTCAGTGCATGTCATAGTGAGCGGTTGAACAGCCTTATGTATTATTAGCATATTATACTTTGATTAGCTGAACAAGCAATTGGATGACTGGACACTTAGCACTTTAGGCTTTTATTATAAGAATGCCACAAACTGATAACTTTTAAATGTAAAAGGGAAAGAAGCTCCAGAGATCCATATTCTGTTCACAATACAGCCATTAGCTTTACAGAATCCTAGAATCCATATATAAAAATTTCCTACCTAAGGGGACCATCAGGCAAAGACTATGAAAATGTTCCCTGAACTAACTGCTACTGAGCCTCCAAGATGTTTCTATGTAAAGAACTGCAGTAAAACACTGGGGGACCATATGTAAGATGTCAGATAATCCTAAATCCTAAATGCCCCTGGAAAATTCTACTCAGACTTTATGGCTGCTTATGAGATCTTCAGATAAAGTAAAAATTATCTTGGGAAATTGCTACAGTGGAATACTGAAAGCAACAATCAGTCTAAACTAAACAGATACCAAATGTTCTTGAGGTTTAAGTAACGGTGAGTTCTGATATTAAATGAATTTAGTAAAAATTCTACAGTGTAAGCCTAAGAAGGCAATACAGCATGTAATAATACAAATGGCTACCTGTTTCTATTTATTACTCATTTCCTATATTTTCCTTTACTCTTCAGAACATCCCTATAATATAGGTGTAATTATTTTCATCTTATAGATGAAGAAATGGAATCTGAGAGAAAGTGGGTGACATTCTCTTGGCCACACAACCAGGAAGTACAATAGTATATCCCCAAACTCTATCCAGTAGGGCCCCAGATCATCACACATCTGATTCTGTTGTGGATTGTTCCAAAACTCATATGTTCCTTCAGTAATTATTCTTCACTTCTATCTATGAATAATCATGAGGAGAACTCTAAACTATCGTTCCAGTATATATTCCAATGTCTTATTTCTGACAGAGATTATTTTGTGCTTCTCTGAAAAATTAAGTTTTTGCAAACTTGTGACAAATAGGTTATTTAATAGGAATTGGTATTGGAGATAGAAAATACCCACTTATTAACAATATTACTTGGTGTACATTTCCACAATAAAACACTAGAGGTCGCCCTAACCTAGATTTTCCAACTTCATTAAACCACTGTCAGGATTTTTGTCATATAACATGCTACATACATTATTTACTTATGTTTCTTTATAATAGCTCATATTTTAAAACTAAATATGTATATCTTTTAAAGGAAACTTTTCAAATGTAAACTTAGTACTTTTATCATTTTATTTAAACTAAATTCATTTTTATTGAAATGCACATATACCCATACACCATATATATTTTATCATCTTCCTACTAATATTATTCCATATCTTGCATTAGGAGTTGCCTACATAATGGGACCAAACTCCTTTTAACAGCACTTGCCTTTCTATACTGACCCCTGTGTCCTTTCCCATACTCTGAGAGATATTTACTTTCACACTCAGAGAGATATAGATTACGGTTGGGAGATATCACTGCCTGGAAAATGGATTAACCAGGACATTTCTCCCAAACATGCTACTAAAGTTCTGCATAAATAAAGCAGGTGATCTCTGGCTTCATATTATAGTGTATAAAATTAAGGTTTGGGACTGCATTGGTGGTTCTGAATTTTGGCTGCACATTAGAATCACTTTATAAACTTTAAAAAAATGCCTGAATCCCACTTCAGACTAATTAAGTCCAAAATTTTGGGATGTGAGATGGTGGGAACAAGTTAACAGTGACAGTTAAAAGCTTTCTCAGTAATTCTAACATGCAGCTGAGCTGACAGTAGCTCAGCTAGTTTCCCTATGTGGTCTGGTCTGGTCTGGTCTGGTCTGGTCTGGTCTGGTCTGGCTAATACTTCAGGCTCTATACTGACTGTCCTGATAAACTTTCAGACACAGAGCCTACAAAGACTTAGTTCTCCTACATATTATACTTATCTTTCTTAAAGCATAATTGTCTTACTTTCAAATTCATTTCTAGAAATGCATTTTCTTCTATTTTGACATGCAATAGGACACCAGCAAGGCCAGGGTGAATGGACAGAGGCACTTGGACTCTCCTCTCCACTCAGTGCTGTGGAGATGAGATCTAGCACATATACTTCTACAAACTCATCTTTGGTAAGGCTGTTAATTATAAGAGAGGTGTCAGCTCGTGAGGGGTACCAGTGCTGACAATCTCCTTTAGGTAACTGATTTTGAAAATCTGTGAGTAAAGTATTCATTTGCTGTGTCAATTAACAATGGCATAGCCTGAATGTTGAACCAATGTAATACTATAAGTTTCAGCATATCTGCTTTAAACGAAGCAGACAGCATTTTTGTCTACAACAATAGCACATCTTGAGCCAAAGGGAGTGACCTCAGTTATCAGTGGCTGCAGGTGTTCATTGTGTCTAGACTCCAATTAAAGATGTTAACTATGTTCTTTACTTATGCTTACTATGCATCTCTACCAAATATAAAATTTAAATGTGATTTGTGGCATTTACAGTTCAACCTGAACTTTCTCCATAGAGATGAGCCTTTTCCTAACAACAGGCACAACAATAATGTACTCATTCTATAAGTCATATGGTGATGCCAGGGCTGAAAGAATCATTTCTCTTTCAAAACTAAAGAGCTAATGCCGTTATCCTATAGTGGATCAAAACTATCGTGTTATTAAAATTTACACTCTCTCCATAAAGTAGTGATATAGAAACTATTGTTTCTCCACCTTGGAATGGAAAGACCAAAAATGGGAATAAGAAATGACAACTCATATTCACAAAAATAACTATATTCTTCCTTTTAAATTGAACTGATTCCACACGATGCCCACCCTACTTATATCCAAACCAGTTTCTTCGATTTTTTTCTATCAATTTACTATTAGCAGGATTTTAGGAAAATAGTATTATTCAGTCAATATTTTGAGTTTTGAAGAAGAAAATTCAATTCTTATTGCCCTTCTGTTCCTGCATATACAATATAATGGTTCAAAGCTTACCTTGGTAAACATTTAAATACCCCATGCTTAATAGGAAATGGGATTTAATATATGGCATGCATTTGCTTACACAATTCAAAATGCCTTACCTGTCCAAACTGTCATCAGATCTATACCGGCTAATTGTGGCTTTTAGCTCATTTATCTCATTTATTTTCCTGTAGCAAAAATAAAGAAAAATCAAATAAATGATAAAAACAAACAGTTTATAAAACCTACCATGCATTTGGTAAAATCTTGGCCTAGTCAGTAGGAGATGGTGTATGTTATCAAGAAAAATAGACCTTAAGTATCCAAATATTTTTACTTGGAAAAAATAAATTATGGAAAACCCAAATCTCTTGCTAATAAAGGAATTCTTCTCTAAATCCACTTATTTCTAACTGGAATGTAACATTGAGGAAACAACACAACATGCAAAATGATTAGTATGTACTCTTGTCAATGTTGTTGATTTTTACATAACAGGAAGTCAGTCAGCTATATTTTGTTTGCAGAGTTTTTCCAGCACATAAGGCAGCCCAACAGACCTATTACAAGCTGTTTTATTTAAAGTTCAGCACCGCGGACAGGGTTGAAAGATGAGAACATATTGGCAGAAGAAAGGGAAGGAAAGAAGGAAAGGAGAAACAGGAAAAATTGGAAAGAAATGGAAAAAAAAAGAAAGTGAAAAAAGAGAGAACAGATGGATGTTGGAAGGAGAGGAGAAGAGAAGAGAGATAGGGAGAAGTAGGGAGAGGAGAAACAGAATACAGAGAGTTGAGAAAGACAAAAGAAAAGGAGAGAAAAGAAGAAAAAGAGAAACAGGAAAAATTAGAAAGAAATAAAAAAAAAAGAATGTGAGAGGGAAGAAGACAAGGAAATCAGGGAAGAGAGGATAGAAGACTCAAGAGTATGAATTATGATTATCAATCATGGAAATACCTTGATCAGAATGATCAATCAGCAAAAAATATAAAGCCTTTTTAAAGTCTTGCATAACCCTGTGGGACAGGGAAAGAAAGTTCATTGGGGAATTATGCCATGATTTACTGTGTTTGCATATAAAAGCATCCTTTGAAGCTGCCAGATCAAAGGTATTAAATTGGTAAAAAGTCTTGAAACAGTATATTTCAGATTTAATTTTCAACTTGATGTATATTTTTAAGCAAATATTTGGAGGTACACAGTATACAATGCACAGCACTGCTGAGGAAATTAAGAAACAACTGTGGACTTGACACATGCAGAGCTAGAGGTACAAATGAGATACCTTCCTACACCCACAGGTAGAAAGTGATCAGTGTTGTAAAGGAGACTCAGGTAAAGTACAAGGAAGTTCCAAGTTGAGAAAGCTTATTTCCAGAGATAGGAAGCAGAGAAGGCTTTATGGGTGGGGTGCAGTTTGGGACCTTGGAGGATACATAAATGTGAACACAGTAAAACAGAGTAGAGAGAATAGTGTCAGTTGAGGCAAGAGCAAAGTAAAGGAAATGCCTCAGTTTTTAGAAACTCAGTCAAACCGTGGTATGGCTCCTCGTTGCATGCAATGCTCAAGTGCAAGTAGGTGCTGCAGGGCCATCCAACCTTTCTGTAAAGCTGCCCCTTCTCAGACACTGTTACTGTACACCCATTAGTTGGCTTTAGTCTTCCTGGCGCTTACCACACAGAACATACTGTATTGTATTTATTTCTTTTCCGCCCCTCCCTCCTCCACCTCCAACTGGGCTGCAAGTTCTATGACAGCAGGGGTTTCCTTTTGTTCCCAGACCTTACAATAGCACCTGGCTCACAGCAGGCATCTGTGCAAGTATCCTTTATGCTTATTTGACATGTTTTCACGGTCTGACAGAGATGTACACTGTAAAATTTTCTAGTTTGTGATAAGATGAAGCTTTTTATCTAGGGTGATGAGAATTTATTATTTTCTTCTTTATTTTCAGTCTCTGATCACGGGAGCTCTTAGCACACTTTGTCACTTCTGCTGGGAGTGCTTCTCTCCAGGCCCCATGTCCACCAGCTACCCTTTCCTGCTTGGGAATCTCTCCTCTTCATCCTTCAGGCAGCAGCACTCACCCGGATGACCACAGCCTCTACTTAGGCAGAGTTTGTCTCTCTCCTCTCTCTTCCCAAAGCATTCCCACACACTTCCACAAGAGCGTTGTCCACAGGAAATTTTATTTAGTATTTTAGTTTATGGATCCATCCATTTTTCATGAATATGAGAGCTCCTTAAAGATGGTATCTCATGCATCTTTGTATTCCCAGCACCTTGCACAATGTCAGCACATAGCAGGTGCTCCAAAGTGGTGCTGAGTGAACACCAAAGTAGATATAGCCTCGGAAAGGGGGCAAACAAGTGTCAAGAGGACATCTGTTTGAGCAAGTGCAAGGAAAAAAAATCATCTATAGTACCCTTTCAGAAAATGTAGTTTGAGACACTAGATATAGGTCAAAGGGAAAATGTCTTGGGTTTAAAGGTTTTTTGTTATTGAAGATAAAAGTGTGCTGCTTTAGCCAAAATGCTGCCCACCAACAGGAAGGTTTCAGGAAACCAAAATAATTTCACATATAAAATAAGCACAGAAGGCCTTAAGATCCTGTTATCCTAAAACACACTGAGAATATGAAGCTTAGTTTTTCTGTTCACGTTATTTAATAGTTCCACAGAGGGGCCAATAAGTGGAGGGAGCAATTCCACTGAAGGCTGGCCTCAGTGATCAGGCTCCCTTTGATTGGTGATATGGGCCCCACTCAGAACAAAGCTGTGATCTTCAAACTCATGAAGAACGAGAAGAAGGCACAGGGAGGGGCTGAGGAATCACAGAGCAGTCACTCAACCAGATGAACTGAGGCTGGAAACCAGAAAACCAGACACTTTGTGCAGAGGGCCATAAGCTCAGTACCTTACAACAGGTCAAAATTATGACCAGGTTTAAAAGAGTTTAGAAAATTCCACAAATTTCCAAAATAGACATATGGGAAGTATCTACTAAACTTTTTAAAGATCACACCATGCAAGACAATTGCACTCCTTTTTATGTACGTATTGGTAACAGGCAGGCCACTGGACCAGATAAAACTTGTGTCTGATAAATAATTGGGTTCTTTTAATGGGTGTGGTTGTATGTGTGCAAGTGTAAATGTGTCTTAATACGAATATTATCTATTTATTTGATCAATCTTAGATTATTTAAATCATTATGATTACTAGTTTTGTCTAAATTTCCCTACTAATTTGTCTTTGTCCTTCCATTTGCCATTGAGTATTATTTGCTGGTTTTCTACAAGCCTAGAAATTTCTAAAAAAAAAAAAAAAAAAAAGGAGTGCACTATCCCAGAAAGCACGTGAACTCTGGAGCTGTTAGGCCTTCCTTTTAGATTTCCCTTCTCTAAGGTTCAGAGATATCTTCTCTGGTCAAGTCTCTGTGGGAACACTTTCTCTTTCCCTTTCCCATCAGAAGCAGAGGATTTGTTATTCTACTCTTCAAGGGGCAGGTAGGGAAGCATAGAGCTGGAGAAGCACAGAGTTTGCCTTGTACAAACCCCTGGTGATATCACAGAGCATCCTTCATGTGCCCAGGCATCATGGAAAGCCCGAGGTGACCGCAAATATGCAGCCTGTCTTGAACAAGTCTTCTCAAAAATGATAGCCTTTGTGTTTCTGCTAATGATGTAGTTGGTCTGAAGCTCTCACCTCTCCAAGTCATCATGGGAGTTATGACGGTTCAACACCACCCTACCATAATTTTCATCTCTGCAGAGAAAGAACAAAGTGAAGTCACGTGAAAAGTTACCACAGTATTTAGCAATCGCAAAATAAGGGAGACATTAAACAGCTCACAGTTTTTGGCAAGGTCAACTCATTTACTTCAGGCATAAAAACACAACTATGTATTCATTTTAACCAGTCCCCACTTGAAAGAGCACGGTGGAAAGAAACAAGTTTGTCAGTACAAATGATCGTTATTCTAATTTATTCCATGAGATTTCCATGTGATTTAACAATGGAGTGAGTGCTTGCTGTTTTGTTTTGATTTTCCATCAAGAATGTGGGAACACAAGGCCGCCTACTTTGTATGTGTTAGGAGAGTCATTTTTTTTTTTACAGGAAGGCAAAAGTTTTCTATAAAAATGTTCTAAAATTAATTAAGCCCATTATGTCTAGACATCTTTATTTTATGGACTTGATAGTTTTCCTTGACATGAGTAGGGACGTAATTGCTAATATTATTTGGTAATTATTCACAGGAGATAGAGCCCATTTTTTATCCATGCGAATACACAGTCTGCTCTGGTCTTTAACCCTATGAATTAGGCAGGGAAGACACCCTCCTATCCAATTCATAGATAAGGAAATTGGTCAGGGATTTTGTGGCTTTCCTAAGGCCAAAAGGTTATCAAGTGACAGAGATGGGTCTAGGACTCAGACCATTTTACTCCAAACTTTTTTTTTCCAATTGGTCAACCCTGCAAAAGACCAGCAGACAGAAAATCCTAAAGCCATGTCCTTCTCAGTTTGCACAGCAGACCTGAAAGTACAGGCAATTTTGGGAAATGTCAAAACATGTAGCAGAGCCTTTGGTCCTGAGCCAAGGCAGAGAGTAAGTACCTGAACCATTTTCATGTCAACCCGAGCAAACCTGAAATACCACATTTCTCCTGGTTCTGCTCCACTTACGTTACTCAACACTCTGAAACCATGTATAAAAAAGCTATAAAATACAATAGTAGACAATTAGAAGCAAAGAAGAATAGTGAAACAGCTCCAGAAAATATATACCCTCAAATATCCCAAGAGAATTTCTTGGTATCCTTCCCTAAACTTTGAAGAGAGTAGCAGACATCATACATGTTTTCACCTGAAGAAAAATTATAACACACAGCCCAGGACAGGGCCAGTGGGGGTAGGGGAAACATCAGAGCCAACTTCCCCTCATTTAGCAGCTGTCATACCACCCAGGCTGGCTTCCCTGGGACTTTTTCAGGAGGCATGCTTGGCACAAAAACCACCATCCCTGCCAAGTGTAATTTGTCTTAGACATCTCTGTCTTTACCCATCTGTGCAAATATTTGCAACCCAAAATTTATGCTCTACATTTGACATCATTCTACCACTATGAAAAAAAGAAATGCCATATTAGGCTCTGACAGAAGTCACAATGTTGCTTCACAGAAGGAAGTAGTTGTTGTCCAAGAGTGTCAACTCTAAAAAGTTAGTGTGAATCTCCAAATACCCCCATAGTCCCTTAAAATAATATTTAATCACAGAAATCACTAGACATTTTTTATTTAACAGTTACAAGTATACTCCTCAAATAACCACCCGCAGACAGTACATTCAGAGTAAGTATTCTGTAACGGAGGGTTTCTGAACTTCAGCACTATTGACATTATGGATTTGATGATTTTTTTGTTCTTGGAAGTGTCTTGTGAAGCATGACTATCCTTGACCCTCTTGATGTCAGGTGTACTCCTCCCCTTTTGACAACTAAAAATGTATTTGCCAAACATCCCCTGAGGGTAAAACTACCTTTGTTGGATTGAAAACCATTGGTATACTGGAAAAATAATGGTCACATTAGAATTTTGACTTCACCTCTTAATAGTAGCGTGCCATTGGACAAGTTACTTTACCTCTCTGAGCATCAGATTTCCCAAGTGTGTAATGAACATATGATACCCACTTTGTGTGATTCTTGTGAGATTTACTAATGCGTGATACATAAAGTACCTGGTATCAAGCCTGATGCGTAAAAGGGAATCAGAAAAGTGTGCACATGAATATACATAATTTATAATAAAGCTATATCTGGGCTGGGCAAATGTTTATCATAAATCTATGTTGGCAGGAAGACAATATGGTCATAGCTTTAAAATCATCATTGAAACAATGCTTAAAGCAGACAAAGCTTCCTGAATGGTAAGTCTTTTCCCTTTCAAAGTAATACCGTATTTGCAACCAGCTGGAGGGGAATAGTTAGATGGGACTAAAATAAATTACAAACTTATTTACTTCACTTGTGCATAAATAAATTTTATTTCAAATTGTTATTACATTTGCAAATGTGCAATCATACTATTCTGTGTTTGTTTCAACTGACACGGTCCACATGCACCAGAAATCTCCCTGCCACAAGCTCCTATTTGGTTATAAGAATGAAACCCTGCTTTCTCTCGCTAGAGACACAGCCTCTTCAGTATGTGGACAGTAGAAATGGTAGTGATGTTCCTGAAAATCTTTTGCTACCAATTTATACTTCATAAACCTTACCAAAAATTAAGCCACATAGCAAAGTGTTTTAAAATGAAATTATTCCATTTTTAGATGGCCAGTCGCTTCCCAAACAGATACTGGCTCTCTCTCTACTCGTCCACCCACTCCACGTCCTCTTACCTTCCTTCAGGACGGTTCTTTATCCAGCTGTTATCCTGTAAGAAAGCCCTTCTTTTGTTCACCTCGAGAAAACCCTGTTGTCTCTGTGTTGTTCCCTGAGTAGAACTCTTCATAGCTATCAACAGAAAAACGAAGGAAAGGGCTTGAGTGTGGGTTTGTTAACCTAGAAATTTTGAAAGTCACATCTGATTGGCCAACATCAGCCTTCTAGGCTGGCAAGTCCAGTACTGTTTCAAAGTAGGATGTACTAGTGAGAAAAAAACAAAGCCCACACCCCATCATCAAAGATAACATGTAACTGCTCAGGTGCCAACTGAAACTGCCCATGCAGCTCATGAGGCGCTGTCTGGCACCAGGGAACACTGAGCCACAGGCCTGGGATAAACAAGGCTAGGGCTTCGTGGGTGGCCTTTTACTTAAGAAAGAAATTTGCTTCCAAAATATGTAAAGGACTATTTTAAACGCTTTTTATTATAAATAAATTAATTTGTTGATCTAATGGGAGCAGAAACATTCAAGGTCATATACAAAACAGGACATTTTTTACTGGTTTTATTTTTTTAAAGTCTTTGGATTGCAATTACATGGGTAAAAGCTGTTGCATTCTAACTTTTTTCTTCAGCCTAACTTTAGCAATGCTAATTAAAGTAGACAGTTGCTTCTGAGCATTCATTATGTATATAAAATCATTAGGACCCCTGAGGTGTTTTCCCCAGATTTTTTCAGTTTTCTGAGAAAGGGGAAAATCATCTACATACCGTTTCCTGTGGGAGATGTTTTTCTTAAGGACACATTGGACATGCTGCCTTCCAAGTACAGATCTAAAAGAAAAATGGGGGTGGAGAAAACACAACAATGACTCTAAGAATCTACAAGGGAATCTCCATTGCTAATGAGACATTTTTCTTTTCTTTTTAAAAAATATTTTCTTAATTGATTTCAGAGAGGAAGGCAGAGGGAGAGATAGAAACTTCAACGACGAGAGAGAATAATTGATTGGCTGAGTCCTGCACGCCCCCTAGTGGGGATCAAACTTGCAACCTGGGCATGTGCCCTGACCAGGAATCGAACTGTGATCTCCCAGTTCATAGGTCTATGCTCAACCACCAATCCATACCTGCCAGGGCCTAGACGCATTTTTCATTGGTACTGACAAAGTCACAGGATCTGATATAATAAATATATGACATAAAGTGCCCCCTAAGGGCCTGAGAGTTCATCTATTCCACTGTGTTCATTTTACAGATGAAGAAACTTAGACCCAGAGTGTTTAGTGTCCCCAATGTTATAGAACAAGCAAGTGGCTGAACTAGGCCACCAGTTATTCCATTTTTTTCAATCAGTAAATGTGTGTTGGATTGGAAGAGGAGAGGGACATTTGTAATATTGTCAATAATATATATATATATATATATATATATATATATATATATATGAATGATAATAAAACAGTTAAAAATATATGAATGTGTACTCAATGCCTATGATATGCCAAGCACTGAGCCAGTAGTTCGTGACAAAAGATGAGTTAGATAAGTGTCTAGCCAGGCCAATAAAATGAGACATGGAACTGACAGCACGTCATGCAGAGCACCCGAAAGAGGGCGAATGGCTCCTCTGAGGGAGCCCAGGTAAGCCCGGTCAGCAGAAGTGTGATGAGGAAGGAGGCAGTCAGAGGCATGGCAATCCAGAGCTGGGGCACTCTGATCATTTTAGGTAACCATTGCTTGGGGAAGCCCCACGTTTCTTAGCTATGACCAACCACCACTTCTAAACTATTAAGGGGTTAAGGCAAACCACAGTCCCAGTTTGCCTAGAATTGATTGGGTTTTCAGAGCTGTATTAGGAACTTTTTTCCCCCCACAGGCCTCTTCTTTAAAAACAAAACAAAACAAAACAAAAAAAACTTCTTTTTCTGTAACATACATTTTTAAATTTCAATTGATAACATACAGGACATATCAGGTTTTTAGAAATTTCCTTTACACACATACATATACACACATACACTTAAAATTATATTTATGACTGTTTAGTATAAAGATAAATAATTCAGGCTGGCTTCACTATTATATATTCTTCATTATTATTATTATTATTATTATTATTATTATTACTAGAGGCCTGGTGCACGAATTCGTACATCAGTGGGGTCCCTTGGCCTGGCCTGTAGGATTGGGCCGAAACAGGCTCTTTGACCTCCCCCAGGGCTCCCAGATTGTGAGAGGGCACAGGCCAGGCTGAAGGACCCCACTGTGCACAATCAGGACTGGGCAAGGATACGGGAGGTTGGCCACCTGGGAAGGGACTGCGTGCAGGAGGTCACCAGGATGTGTCTGGCCTGTCTCACTCAGTCCTGATCAGCCAAACCCCAGCAGCAAGCTAACCTACCTGTTGAAGTGTCTGCCCCGTGGTGGTCAGTGCATGCCATGACAACTGGTCGACCAGTCAACTGTCTGCACTCTGGTGGTCAGTGCATGTCATAGTGAGCAGTTGAATGGCCTTAGCATATCATTAGCATATTACGCTTTGATTGGTTGAATGGACGACTAGACACTTAGCATGTTGGGCTTTTATTATATAGGATTATATTTATTTACTTTTTCTTCTGCTGATAAAAGGAATGAAAATTAGAACTTTTTGCCAAAACCAGTTTGGCTCAGTGGATAGAGCGTCGGTCTGCAGACTGAAAGATCCCAGGTTCGATTCCGGTCAAGGGCATGTACATTGGTTGCAGGCACATCCCGGTAGGGGGTGTGCAGGAGGCAGCTGGTCGATGTTTCTCTCTCATCGATGTTTCTAGATATCTATCCCTCTCCCTTCCTCTTTGTGGAAAAATCAATAAAATATATATATTTTTTTAAATTAGAACTTTTTTTGCGGGCCCCTAAAAAAATCACAGGCCCTAGGCACTGCCTTTTCTGTTTCATGAATAAGTCTGCTCTTGGTTTCTGCTGACGTGAGACTTTCTGTTTTAAAATTGGAAAATTCTTGAGCAGTCAGAGATGTCTGCTCTCCCCGGGTTCGGTGTTCTGCTTTTTGCAAAGTTCATCCAACTGGGCAGGGAATGCAATGCTGGAGGGGCATCAGCTCTCACCGCAGAAGCACACCCCAGGCCCAGCTTTATCACAGCAAGTTCTGTCACTGAGACAATCTCCCTGGAAGATGGGGCTAATGACACCTGCCATCAACTACATGAGGTGATTTGATGAGCCAATGAGTAATGTACACAAAAATCACTTTGTTAAACAATAAATGCTATTGGTACCATTATCAGACAGCCATTTATAGGTATAACTTGGGGTATCTGGAAGCGCCCATTTTTTTTTTTTTATATTCCCAGAGCAGGTGCTGTTGTGGTCTGAATTGTGTTTTAAAAGATCCATATGTTGAAGCCCTAACTCTCATACTTTAGGATGTGAATGTATTTGGAGTGTCTTTAAAGATGTGATTACATTAAATGAGGCCATGAGGATAGGCCCTAATCCAATCTGGCTGGTATCCTTATAAGAGGAGGAAATTTGGACACACAGAGAGATAGCAGAGATGTGCGTGCACAAAGGACATAGAGAGATGGTGACCGTCTGTAAGCAAAGGAAAAATACCTCACAAGACACAGAACCTGACAACACCTTGACCTTGGACTTCTCGTCTCTAAAACTGTGAGACTACAAATTTATGTGGTTTAAGTTCCCTGGTCTGTGGTATTTTGTTGTGGCAGCCCCAGCAAACTAATAAAGTTCTTCTGGGAAAAGTGATTAAAACATTTCTCAACACTAAGTCATTCTAAGAGCTTTGGACCACACTATCTCTAACTTGAATGTCCCTCCACACAGAGGGCAATTGCTAATAATGTAAATACCTATTAGTTGAACACCTCCTCTGAACAGGTTACCTCATAGGCACTGTCTCTCAGCCTTGAATAAAGTCTGCAGTTACTGTTGCCTTCATCTCCGAGATAAGACAAACGAAGCTCAGGGAGAGTGTCCAACATGCCGAAGGTGATAAGAAGCAGAATCTAATTTCTAAACCAAAGCCAAGTCCTTCTTTAGCAACCAGAAATAATGCTCATCACGAATCTTTACAGGTTCAGACAGGTGCCCTGGCGTTAGAGTGAGAGAAGGAAGGTAGACAGCAGGGGCCTGCCTGACTCTTGGCATCTTTCTCTGTGGAAGTCCCATGACTTCTGCCTCCAGTGCCCGGCAGCACGAGACCCAGGGCAGCCTCTCAAGGAATCACTGCAGCATTCAAACCCTCACAGAACAGCCTTCTCGGTGTCCTGCCTGATATTCCCTTGGCATATGTCCATGCAAACACTTGTACACAAATGGGCTCAGCAGCATCATTTACAATAGCCCAAAACTGAAAACAGCCCAAATGATCATCAAGAAATGAATGGATACATCATAATATGTGGTATATCCATACAATGGACTATTATTCTGAAACAAAGAAGAAAGAAGTACTGATACATGTTAAGTGATGAAAGAAGCCAGGCATAAATCATGACAACTGTATGATTCTATATGGATGTTGTTTTTAGATTTTCCTGCATATCCCGTCTCAATTCTCCCATTAGGCTCTGCTAGGCAGGGAGGAGAGCTCAGACAATACCAATACTTTCGATGACTTTATAGTTATGTACATTTTATCTCATTGAGTTTCTAAACAGTGTTTTAAGAGGGACATAATCCCTACTTTGCAAATACAGAAGCTTGAGTAGCTGATGACTGGCCAAGCTGGGACTCAACCTAAAGTTCTGTAGCTTGAGGCTCCTCATCTTTCCTCTATGCCAGTGACTCCAGGTTGTCAGCACATCCTGCAGAGAGTTGTCTAGAGAAAAGCAGATACGTCCTCTTTACATTTAGGGCTTGCTCTAGTCAGATCCAACATCCTACAAGAGGGTCTGCTATTTCCCTGCCTTTGGTAGGTAGGCATTCTCCAGAAGTCCTAGCTAAAAGGAATCAAATGAGATAAGACTTTCAAACAATATCATGGCTCTTAACCTGCCAATTACTAGCCTTAGGTATCCTATAAACACCTCACTAACTCCACCGGAGTCCGTGATGTATTTTCTAGTAAGAGTTTCCAACAAACCCACTTGCTTTCCCAGTTTTATCTTGTTGCCTCTTCCATGAAAGTGCCTTGGCGTTTTGCCTTAACCCTTCCCTTCTCAGGAACTAGGATGCCCTGCAAAAGGTAGGAGTAGCCTCTTTGGGACCAGGGATTAACCACCAGGACTAAAGTCACACATTAACAATGGCAGAGCGAGAAATTGGAAAGAGTCTGGTTTCTTGACAGTATCCTAGAGCTGCCACAATAGCCCTGGATTATCTCTCTCTCTGAACTTCTTCTTGCAAAAGAAAAAAATAAAGCTGTTCAGGAGATTGTATTTCTATATTTCAGTTACTTGAACCTAATAATGTTCTTTCTACCTATTATGAGGCCATTGTGGAGCAATAGAAGGTCTAAAAGCCCATGGTGATCTACAAAACATAAGATACAAGTCACTCTTTTATTAGTAAAACTAGAGGCCTGGTGCATGAAATTCATGCACATGGGAGGAAGGGGTGTCCCTCAGCTCAGCCTGCATCCTTTCCAATCTGGGACATCCCTCTCATAATCCAGGACTGCTGGCTCCCAACTGCTTGCCTGCCTGCCTTCCTGATTGCCCCTAACCGCTTCTGCCTGACAGCCTATTCACCCCCTAACCATTCCCCTGCCAGCCTGATTGATGCCTAACTGCTCTCCTGCCAGCCTTTTTGCCCCTAACTGTCCTCCCCCAAGGCCTGGTCACCCCCAATTGCCCTCCCCTGCAAGC